AAACCTCAAGAAAGATATCAATATTCAAATATAAGAAGATTGTAGACCACCAGGTAAATTTAACCCAAATAAGACGATGTCAACATTTTTAATAATAATCAAACTCCAAAACTTCAGGGATAAATAAAGGATCTTAAAAGTAGAAAGACAAAAGAAACAAATAATGTAAAAAGTAGTTCTAATGCATTTGGCTGTAGACTTCTCAATGGAAATCTTACAGGCCAGGAGAGAGTGTCATGACATATTTAAAGTACTGAAGAAAAACAAAAAAAAACAAACAAAAACCCTTTTACCCAGAATAGTATATCCAGCAAAAATATCCTTCAAACATGCAGGAGAAATAAAGATTTTCCAGAGAAACAAAAGCAGTGGGATTTTAATACTAGACCTGTCCTACAAGAAATGTTAATGGAGTTCTTTGATATAAAAGAAAAGGACATTAAAGAGCCATAAAAATCATCAGAAGGTATAAAACTCTGTGGTACTAGTAAGTACACAAACAAACACAGAATATTATAACACTGTGGCATGTAAACTACTCATATTTTGAGTAGAAAGAACAAAAAAAGAGCCCACCAAAAATAATAAAACAACTTTTCAAGACTTAGTAAAATAAAATATAAATAGTAACAACAAAAAGTTAAAAAGTAGGGTAGGAATGAAGTTAAAAGGCAGTTTTATTTTTTTTCTCCTTTCTTATTTGTTATCAGTTTTAAGTTGTCATCATTAAAAAAAAAAATGGGATATAAGGTGTTATTTGCAAGCCTCTTGTTAACCTCAACTAAAATAAAATACTACAACAGATATACAATACATAAAAAGCAAGAAATTAAAGCACACAAGAGATAAAAATTACAACAAATATATAATAAATAAAAATCAAGAAATTAACACCAGAGAAAATTACCTTCACAAAAAGGAAGACAGGAAGAAAACAGAGAAGTGAAAGACCACAAAACGACAAGAAAACAAAGAACAAAATGGCACTTGTTAGTCCTTTATCAATAATAAAGTGCTGATTTTTATTTCTGACCAAATTTCCTTAGATGTTTTGAATTTTTATTTGATGATAATTATTTAACATTTAAAAATCATTTATTTGTTTTATAATTTCAATTTTTTTTTGTCTAGCATTTTGAGCCCATTAAATTTACTCATGTATATGCAGCAGATACAGGAATATTATTTTAAATTATGTTTCTCATTACTTTTGTTCTAATGACTCTCGCTTATTTAATAGGAAAGTGTTTAATTTCTAGGTTTGGCTTTAAGTTCTGTTTTTCTATCTTTTGTTTCATCCCATTTAAAAATTTTTAAATTTCATTATATTTCTACTCTGTGAACAGGGATCATTCCTCTAATTTTTCTTCTTTATCACTGGTTTGATCAATTCCACTCTTGAATATTAGTTGTTTTTAATAGGACACATTTAGAGTTTTATTTAGCTCATAAATCAGCAGTTGATAAGGTGATGCCTATACTTTTAGTCATTAGATATATGTGCTCCATTTTCATTTTCATCTGGACCCTGATATTTTTCTTCATTCTGTTGATTATGTAAATCACTTTGCAGACATTTTTTCTGTAATCTGCATGAGATTCTGCTCTACTGTTTCCTTTTTCTCTCCTTTCTGTTTTTTCTTTTTTCTTATATTTTTTAATAAAATTCAATTTGTTGACTATGATAATATGAATAAATGATGCTATTATGTTATTTGCAATATCTAGTCCATGATGTACTTTCATCTTTGGCCCATTCATATCTTCTTCTTATTCATTTAGCTATTCACATACTTATTCATTCCTTCATTTGGTAATTTATAGTGACATAATAAGCTTCTGTGACTCTACCACACAAAATTCAAATTAGGGCTATGACTTATGTCTGATTTAAGATTTTCTACAAAATTTCATATGCCTTTCTCCTCTCACCAAGTTAATAATAGTTCTGAATTCTACATTATTTGTAATTGACTTTTCTTTATGTAAGTAATTTCTTCTGTATATATTCATCAAATAACATTTTTAGCTTATTTGTTTAAAACTTTATAAAATGGAAATCATATGAATCGGATCTGATTTATTAATGTTTTCTTTTGTACTTTATGTTATATGTGTCCTCCTTTTTTTTTTCTTTTTTTTCTTTTTTTTTGAGTTGGAGTTTCACTCATTTACCCAGGCTAGAGTGCAGTGGTGTGATCTTGGCTCACTGCAACCTCTGCCTCCCGGGTTCAAGTGATTCTCCTGCCTCAGCCTCCCAAGTAGCTGAGATTACAGGTGTCTGCTACCACACCTGACCAATTTTTGTATTTTTAGTAGATATGGGAGTTCACCATGTTGGCCAGGCTGGTCTCAAACTCCTGACCTTGTGATCCACCTGCATCAGCCTACCAAAGTGCTGAGATTACAGGCATGAGCCACTGCACTCAGTCTTATATGTGTCCTCTATAAGAAATCTTTCCTTGCAGCTGTGAACATGAAGTTATTTTCTGTGCTATTTTCTAAAAGCTTTATTCTTTTGTCTTTCATATTTCAATTCATAATTTATTTAGAATTAACATTTATCTTAATGTAGAGGTAAAATGTAGAGGTTAAGATTCATTTGTTGTAGTATGGATAATGAATTGATCCAATACAATTTATTTATTATTTATTTATTTTTTACTGGGTTACTGCTATGGTTTGAATGTCTATGTCTCCTCCAAAATGAACATCAAAACTTAAATCCTAATGCAACCATAGTGGTAGGTAGAGTCTTCGAGAGAGAATTAGGTCATGAGGGTGCCATTCTTCTCAAAATATCATTTTATTTCTCCTGAAATAAAAATGGCTTCACACAGCATTTTTCCCTTTTTTTCCTTCTGTCTCCATGATATGAGGATGCAGCCACAAGACATGCTCTTGGAAGAAGGAGCAGCTCTACCAGACGCCAAAATTGCCAGTGCCTTGATCTTGAACTTTCCAGCCTCCAGAACCATGAGTAAATAATTTTCTCGTTTTTATAAATTACTCAGTCTAAGTTTGTTTTGTTTTGTTTTCAGCATAAAGGCACTAAAAGAATTACTGTAGCTTGAGTTGGGTGCCGTGGCTCACACCTGTAATCCTAGCACTTTGGGAGGCCGAGGTGGGTGGATCACCGGAGGTCAGGAGTTCAAGAGCAGCCTGGCCAACATGGTGAAACTGTATCTCTACTAAAAATACAAAAAATTAGCCAGGCGTGGTGGATGACACCTATAATTGCAGCTACTAGGGAGCCTGAGGCAGGAGAATTACTTCAACCTGGGAGGCAGAGGTTGTAATGAGCTGAGATCGTGACACTGTACTCCAGCCTATGCAACAAGAGCGAAATTAAAAAAAAAAGAAAAACAAAAACAAAAATAACAAAGAATAAGAGAATTACTGTAGCCCTTTTTGTTTCTAATTGGGTATTGGATGACTGCATATATGTGGATTTGATTTTAGATGTTTTATCAGGACAAATGGAAGCTAGAAAGTGGAATGACATATTAAAATGCTGGGAAAAAAAATTCCAAAAAAAACCCAAAACAAAACAAAATTCAACCAAGGATTCAATATCCAGTGAAAGTATGCTTCAAAAATAAAGGTAAACTAAAAGCATATCCTGATAAACAAAGATGAAGTATTACTTGAAGACATACTCTATAAGAAATTCAAGAAGAAATGTTTCAGAATCCCAGGAAATGATGGCAGACAGTAAGTTGAATCCACAGGAAGGAAGGAAATCCCCAAAAATAGTAAAGAAAGAAGAGAGAACCCAGACACAATGCAAGAAAAGCCTTTACTTCAATTTTTGAGGTTTAGTCCAGGGAAAATTAAACTGTTGTGGTGGATGTCACAATGTCAATTACCTTGGTTGGAATTGGGGAGCAGCTGTTGCCCGGGAAGGTGCAATGAGAAAAGAATCTGGAGATTTTGAAATGATCTACAATTTTATCTGGGAGGGGTATATATGTAAAACTTTGGCTGCACATTTAACATTTCTATCCTTTACTCTGTGTGTGTTTATCTCGATTAAAAAAATAAATACAAAGGCCAAATCTCAACTCTTAAACAACTATAAATAAAAAAGTAAGAATCAGCGAATATTTATGAAAACTCAGCTTTATGAAAGAGAAGTGTAAAACGTGCCTAAGAAAGTGCTAAGAAACAAGAAATCTTACAGAGAAGACAGAAGGAAACGCTTAAATTTCTCCCACATAGGCAACAGAGATTTTATGTCTGTTGGTTTCCCTTCAAACAGAGAAGATATTTAAGTCATTTTCTTCACAAGAATGGCTCCCACCCTCCACTTGGCTTTTTCCACCCCACTGCACCCACCAGGAGATTTGCATATTGTCCCCTAGGGAGGACCTTCTTTTGTGAGTCGAAGATAAAAGCTCAGCTCTATCTTTGCCATGACTGTTCAGGACTTCTCTGTTCACCTGCTCACAATGAGATTCCCTTCTCAGCTCCTGGGGCTGCTAATGCTCTGGCTCCCTGGTAAGGACAGAAGGGGATGAGAAAGGAGAATAGGATGGGAGAGTGAGCTCTGGGGGCACACGGCCTTCCATGCATGTTCTTTCCATGTGTTAGATGTGCAGGTCTTGTCCTCCCAGATGGAGCATGTGTGTGAGAGAGGAAGGTTCCAGAAGGACCAAAGACATGTGCTCTGGGGAAGACTTTGTGCAGAAAGAGAGGATGGTGTGGGCATTTCTGGAGACCCCCTTGAGCACTGCATCCTTTAAGTTCCATTTTGAAATGGGATATTATTGGAATATAAAACAAAATTTAAAAAAATATATAGCCTGAAATAAACAACTAATGAAAATTATAAAAATGATACATAAAGTTTATATATAACCTTAATCTTTTTTTCTTATCATTTCAGGATCCAGTGGGGATATTGTGATGACCCAGACTCCACTCTCCCTGTCTGTCACTCCTGGAGAGCCGGCCTCCATCTCCTGCAGGTCTAGTCAGAGCCTCTTTGATAGTGAATATGAAATCACCTATTTGGATTGGTACCTGCAGAAGCCAGGCCAGCCTCCACACCTCCTGATCTATTTGGTTTCCAACCGGGCCTCTGGAGTCCCAGACAGGTTCAGTGGCAGTGGCTCAGGGACAGATTTCACACTGAAAATCAGCAGGGTGGAGGCTGAGGATATTGGGGTTTATTATTGCATGCAAAGTACACAAGCTCCTCCCACAGTGATACAACCCCGAACAGAAACCTCCCTGCTGGGGTGGCCCAGCTGCCCACATGTGCTGCTTGTTCTGGGCAGCAGCTCAGCAGGTTCTCTGAATCTGTGTAAGAGAAAGATGCTGGAGGGCTAGGGAATAGTTTGCACCCAGGGTTTCTGGATCATGAGCACTTCAGCTACACCTTGAGGACAGCCTGTTTATGTCCCTGTCAGCTCAAACAGCCTTGATTGGTATAAGCAGCAGGGTAATGAGGAGGTCCAAGTGACCTCTGAGTAAACAAACATAATGGAGAGGAGAGATTATTGAAAATCTTACCATAATCCTCTCCCCTTGCCTGCATTTGTTAACTTTTATCAGCAAAATAGGAAATTGACACATTTCTGGCAATACATGAATACATCTGGGGAATTAACAGTATTTTGTGTATTTTTAAGAGGATGTTTAGTAAAATTCAACATTGGTATTTTCCCACTTTTCTAAATTCTTCTATTTCTTACTTATCTTCCACAATATGAATATAATAGAGACAGTATTTTACCTTAGTTATCCTAAGGGAGTATTGGCTAAGAACAGTTAGTAAAAATCTTGGTTTATGATTGTCAGATAAATTTTGAAATTTCATAGAAGGTGCAAGATGCTAATGCTGAAATTCTTTCATTAGACTCATTTTCTCTTGCTAATAGAAAAAGTGAGTTATTGAAATTCAAAATGTTGATTTTAAAAATAAGAAGCACACGCCTAAAGATGTACAGCATAGAATTTTCCCCCTAGACCACTAGGACATACAGAATAATATGAAGTTTTTTTTTTTTTTTTTTTTACCAAACTTAGGAATTTAAAATGGGCAGACAGCAGGAATGGGAGCATGAAGGGAATGCAGGAGGGGTCAGCTACTGGTCAATTAAACTTCTCTCGGCCTGTGTCCCACCTGCTACGAACTGAATTGTGTTCTCAAATTCATGCTGAAGCCTTAATCCTCAAAGCTGCTGTAGGAGATAGGGCTTATAAAGACGTCATTGAGGTCATAAGGGTGGGTCTCTGATCTTATAGGATAGAGGTCTCAACAGATCCAGAGAGCTCTCCTTTTTCCTCTCTCTCTAACGTCTCTTTCTTCTATGGAAAGGTCATGTGAGAGCATGGTGAGAAGGTGGCATCTGCAAGCCAGGAAGCTTCTCACCAGAAAGTGAGCCCTGCTGGACCTTGATATTGGAGTTTCCAGCCACCAGAAATATGAAAATAAATGTCTGTGGTTTAAGCCACCCAGTGTAGGGTCCTTCGGTGTAGCAGTGCGAGACGTGTCATCCACTCTTACCCTTTGAGCAGGATCAGCCTCCGGAGGCACCTGATAGACATGGGGGTACATTTCTTCCTGCTGCAGGGGTTCTCTTTCTGCTGCCATCTGATTCTCTGGTGAGAAAGGGGAGGCTCTGGCTTCAGCCTTAGTTTGTTTACATTAAACAGAAGTGTTTTCCTTGCAGCTGTCAGCCTGTTTCACTTTCTGATTAGAATTTAATCAAACTGTAGAAACTACTGGCTTGTGCATTATTATCTAGGGATGTTCACATTTGTTTCCACTTAGATCCCAGTGAGGACATTGTGTACACTCTGTCTCCAGTGCCTCTTCCTGTGTCCTAGGAGAGAGGGTCACTGTCACTTGGAGGGTAACAAGAATATTAACAGCGTCCTAGCCTGGCTCAATCAGAAATAAAGTCTAGCTATGGTCCCCTTCTGGCTCCCACTGCCCATTGGACATGACGCCTGCCAGCATTGGGTGATGGGCTTGGACAGAAGTCACTCTGGTCATCAGCAGCCAAGCTGCCTTTATGGCCTCCCCTTGTATATAGGGTCCCAGCAGCTGCGTGAGCTATGAAGGCTGGGCAGAGACATCCCACCTGGCTCCAGTCAAAGAGGAAGCTGCCAGTAGGCTGTGGAGGTGTTTTGTCCTGAGACCACCTAGCTAGCTGTTCTGTCCTACAGAAGCCCCCAGGGTCGGACCTGCTTACAATGAGCCCTGAGACAAACCTTCTGTACACTGGGGATCAGATTCACTGCCCATCTCCTAGACACCTGTTATTTTATTCCTAGAACCTACCTGAGGTCCCTCAGCATCCTCAGCAATGGGTGGAGGTCACTGCATGGACCAGTAGAGACATGGGGTGAGCAGGTTCTGAGCATTTTGGTCCCAGGCTCTGTAGTGAGGGTAGGAAGAAAGAACTTGGAACTCAGACCTTTAGCCACAGCCTTAGGAAACCAAGAGTGCAGAGCATTTATCAGGGAACTGCTCCAAGGCCCCTTCTCCACTACAGGTGTGCCATTGCTGCTGTAAAATGTTCATGCTCACTTTATCAAATTTATATCATAACTTATACCAAAATATTATGTGAATTTCTATGTAAGTCTACATATTATTTGGATTTATAATATAGATGCATAGCAGATACAGATATAGCACTATAATTTATATCTAAAATGTTATATATATTTAACAAATAAGGTTTACATGTATCATTTATTTATGCCTTCTGTGAGTGAGATATTCAGATAAGGATCCTGGTAGATCCTTCTGGAGTCAGGGGCCACCAATACCCTCTGGGAGGGCTTAGGACCACAGGCCCCTGAAGACAGTCACAGGCCTGGAGGGTCTTAGCCCATGACTTTCTTCTGTAGAGACAGCTTCTCTTAGATGGCTGAGGGCTGCCTATGGCTATGTCCTTCCTTCTGCATGATAATGAGGGGCAGAACAGGTCTCTAAGCAAACCCTGAACAAGGCCATTCTGTGTGTGTTCCTCTGAACTCTGAACTTGGACATAGGTGGTACTGGATTCACTTAAAGAAGCAAAGTGATTTATAATCATGGGAAAGGGGGGAGAAAAGGCTGAGGGCAGGGAGAGAGAGCCTGCGCTTGTGATGTGTGTACAGGACCAATACTGAGGGTTTAATATTGAGTATAATCCTCAGGTTCTATTCTATGGAGCTTATAAATGTACCCTATATGGGAAAAATGTCTTTGCCCATATAAATGAAGGGTCTTCAAATGAAGAGATTATCCTGCATTAACCAAGTGAGCTCTAAATGCAGTTACAAGTGTCATTGAAAGAGGGATGTAGAAATGGATTTAACACAGACTGAAGAGGAGTAGGCAAGGGGATCACAGAGACAGAAACTAAAGCGATGTGGCCATAGCCAGGGAAAGCTGCAGCCACCAGAAGCTGGAAGAAGCAAGAACAGACTCTCTTAGAGCCCCTGGAGGAGCCACCCATGAATACTCCATGATCTTGGCCTGGCAAAACTGATTCTGCACTTCTGGCCTCCAGAACTATGAGTGATTACAGTGTTGATTACATTTCTGTTGTTTTATGCCATCACATCTTTGGTAACTTCTTATAGCAGTCGAAGGACTCTAATACAAATGAGATTTAGAAAATCCATACTTGGCCAGGCATGGTGGCTCATGCCTGTAATCCTAGCACTTTGGGAGGCCAAGGCGGGCAGATCATTTGAGGTTAGGAGTTTGAGACCAGCCTGGTCAATATGGTCAAACCCTTTCTCTACTAAAAAAAAAAAAAAAAAAAAGCCCGGCATGGTGGCATGTACCCGTAGTCCCAGCTATTCAGTAAACTGAGGCAGGAGGTGGTTGCAATGAGCTGAGATCATGTCACTGCACTCCAGCCTGGGCAACTGAGTGAGACTCCGTCTCAATAATAATAATAACAATAAAACAGAAAATCCATACTAAAGGTAGTATGATGGTTTGCAATCTGTTTGTTCAACTTTCTGATGCTAGATAAGATATAAGTGGATTGATGAGAGATTTTACAGTGGAAAAAATGTACATGAAATTTCACACTGTATAGAGAGGCATCTGTAAGTTATAGGGTAAGTGTTGATAATTTTTAATTGAAAATGACAACTGAATAGTGATACCTTACATGACATCTTAATCCTGACTCATTCAAAGATGCATAAAAGGGGCACTAAGTATTCTCTGATATATACATATAAACATCTCTATGTGTGTGTGTGTGTGTGTGTGTGTGTGTGTGTGTGTGTATTTCATGGCGCATCATCTGGTGAACCCTCATGCAACCCCTTGATATTTGCAGTGCCCCGATGCACAGAGGAAGCAATGGCTCATTAAAGTGCTGGGGTGAGTGTGTTTCCCAAGGTCATATAATCGGCAATTGCAGAGGCTGAGTTTCAAACCCAGGGCTTCTGACCTTAGTTATGTTCCTGTTTCAAAGCCACATTCATTCCATAGAGAAGCTCATAGCCTATAAAATCAGAGAAGAGACAAAGCCAGAAGGTTGTATGAAATTCCCAACATAAGCCTCCCCCAACCCCAGCCGCTGCTACCTCTGCTCCTTACCACGCTGACCCTAAACTTAAACTAAGACCCTTCTGCAGTTTTGCCTGCAATACACAACTCTCTCGAAGCCTTTACAAATACTAAATGTCTTTGAGGTTTGGGGGCAGAGGCACATCTTGTATGGCTCTGACCACTTCTTTATCTCATCTGCCATACTCATCTCTCTGACTCAATCTGTCCTCACAGATTATGTCCTATAAATCTAATTTTCCCTCCGAATGTGAAAACAAACAAACTAATAGCCCCCTTCTCTTTTTGTGTGCTGTGAGAGCTTACCCCTCAGCTCTCAGATAGCCAGATTGTGTGAAAGCTAATTGAAGGATTTGCCCAAGAGATTTTCTTCCTAAGAAGAATTCTGGAGCTATCTCCTCACAGTAAAATGTTCTCTGTCTCTTGTCAAAATTGACAACAAATGATTGCATAGTATAAATATTTGTGAGAATAGAGGGCAACCACAAACTCAGAGAGATGAAAGGCATCACTTCCCTTTGCATTAATTTTGTATTGTCGCTGTTAACAAATTACCACTATCTTACTGGCTTCAAACAACACAAATCTATTATCTTATAGTACTGAAGGTGAGAATTATCACTGAGCTAAAATCAAAGAGTCAGTAAGGCTCTGTTTTTTCT